CACTTTTAGTCGATGAGCCAAGAGCAGAGCCTAAATAAAAAGTAGGTCAGAAAAGAACGGAACACATTTGCAAAAAGTAGAGGACTTCAAACTTCAAAATTTATTTCCGCTTCTGAGCATCTTTCAACTAATTTCCAAGTCAAATCCACTCTGCATTACCACACATCCTGAACATGATAACAATTGGGACATTTATCTACGTTCCTTTCATGAGGTACTATAGTACCTGCTTCTCTGATCTTACAAAACAACTAGACAATTTTTTAAAGAGAGTAAAACGAGGAAGAAAATTACAAATGATCTGGCTGACCGAAGTTCTTCTGCGACACGGATAAGAGCTGGCTCAAATAGTTCAGCAAGAATGAAAGGTTACCTGGGAGCAGCAGTAACAGGAAATACAGATAAAGAGCTCCGAACATTATCCCTCCGAACTTGGTACAGCTCTAATGTTGTTGACTTGCTCGCCGAGCTGGCTGTTTTTGTTCAGACGTTTCGTCACCATGCTAGGTGACATCATCAGTGGACCCGCCGATCAAGCTTTACCGGAGGCTCCACTGATGATGTCACCGAGCATGTAATCTAGACGTCTGAACAAAAACAAGCCAGGTCTGCGAGCAAGTCAACAAACTCATACACAACCCAAGCTACAGATCTTTGCCAAAACTTTTGGTGCAGCTCTCACAAACTGCATAGCTTCTCGTCCTGGGACCGGATTTATTGCATAACTGTGGATGTGACATCATTGCAAGAGATTCAGGAGACACTTGACCCCTACCACTTCCCCGCTCCCCCCACCCGCCCCCTCCAACCCCTTCCATTCCCATCCAAGGAAAAGCAGACCTCCTATCTTTGAAAGGACCGTAACTGACCCACAACGTCCTCAAACAAGTAGAATGATATTGCAGACACCTTGCAGATTCCTAGAAATTGGAAAGATTCACGTGTGTGCTTATTTTTGAGGAGGGAGAGGGAACCACGTCGTTGAACGTCAGAGGACTGCAGAATATGTTAGACGTCACGTCATTGTTCCATTTTGTATCTCAGAATGGACAGAAAGAAGAAATTAAAACTGGGAAGACCATACTTAACAGGGTCCGTTAATTTCTCGAAAAACCGTGTTGAATCAGAATCAATGTAACTGGTTTCCTGCACGGGTAGAAAGTGCTTCTCTTTTCAAAACTGCAAGAACCATTTGAGAGATGTCAAATTACGGGTGTGTCGTTTTTCATTTTTTTAACTCCCCAAAAATTGTGTAGAACTGTCTGACGATAATTTTTTTATGCATGAGATGTATTTCTGCAAGATAAAAACTAGTCCCCTCGTAGGATCGTGGTTTTTCGCAAAATCATAGGACCCTTCTCATTTATGAGGTCAGAATCTCAACTGGGCACAGTATTCTAATGCGGTAAAAATAGAGGGATATATTTTTCAATGCCCTCATTGAGAAATGCTATTACACAGCTGTGGAGCAGGTGTATACATAACTTAGTTCTCCTGGATCAGAGGTAGGGAACCTACCACTGCCTCAGAAGCGCCATCCTCATTCATTCCAGGTATCCACCTCCTCGGAGATGTTAGTGCACACTTTGAGAGAGTGAGAGTTAAACTGTGGCTCCTGGCTCAAAGATAGGGACATTCAAAATGCACAACAAGACTCAGTGTATGATTACAGAAAAAAATGTGCAAACGTTGTCCCCAGCTGACTCTGATTCAAGATGATTATCAAAGAATATTGACGAAGTTTTGTTCTCTCTGTTGTTTCACTCATTTACTGAGAGCTACCATGCAGCTGCATAAGGCCTTAGCAAGACGACTGCTAATCTTGAAAAAGAAAAGATTCGGATTATATTTAACAAGCAATTGATCCAGTGCCTCCAAGCTTTTCTTGCTGTCACGTGGAATGAATCAAATTGGCTGACGACTCGTATCTGGAATGCTGGGGACCACTGAAGGAAGCTGAGATGGATCATCCACTCAGCTCTTCTGTCTGACGATCGCGGTGATATGCTTCAGCCTTACCTTTTGCACTGATGTGCTATGTTCTTCCGTCATTAAAGATGTGATATTTTTGGAACCTCCTCCTCCAGTGAGATGTTTAATCGTCCACCACCAATCACGATTGGACATGGCAGAACTTCAAACTTTAATCTGATCTGTTGGTTGTGGGATCTCTTGGCTCTATTTATCACTTGCTGCTGATGCTGTTTGACATACAAGTAGTCCTGTTTGGTAGTTCATCAGGTTGACACCTCAATTTTAAGGTATGTCTAGTGCTGTTCCTGGCATGCCCTCCTGCACTCTCCATTGAGTCAGTGTTTGTCCCCTGGCATGATGGTAATGTTTGAGTGGGAAATATGCCGTGCAAAAAAGTTCTCGATTGTGCTGCAATAGAATTCTTCTGCTGCTCATGGCCCACAGCGCTTCATGGATACCCAGCCTTGAGTTGCTAAATATGTTCAACGTCTGCCCCCTTTGAGACGGTGACCATTGCACATAACACGATGAAGGTTACTCCCAATGTGAAAGCAGGAGTTCGTTTCCTCAACGGTTGTGCGGTGTTCGCTCTAACAGTTGCTGTCACAGATAGATGCGTCTGAAGCCGGGAGATTGGTAAAGGTGAGTTCAAGTATTTTTCCCTCTTATTGGTTCCTTCACCACCTGATGCAATCCCAATTTAGCAGCTATGTCCTTTAGAGCGCCACCTGCTCGAGCAGTGGTACTGCTGCTGAGTTGCTGTTGTGGGACGACATTGAAATCCTTCAACCAGTGTACATTGTGCCCTTGCCATCCTCAGTACTTCTTCCAGGTATTATTCAACATGGAGGAGTACTGATTCATCAGCCGAGGGAGGACAGTATATGGCAATCAGCAGAAGTGCTCTTTGTCCATGTTAAACCCGAAGCCATGAGACTTCATGGGGCCCAGAGCTAATTTCGTGACACCCGGGGCAACTCCCTGCCGACCATATACCATTGTGCCATGACCTTTGCTTGGTGTGTTCTGCTGGTGGGACAGGACATATCCAGGGATGGTGAGGCTGGTGTCTGGGACATTATCAGGTATGATTGCGTGAGAATGACTATGTCAGGCTGTTCTGAGGAAGGGTCACAGGACCTGAAACGTTAACTCTGTTTTTCTTTCCTTTACAGATGCTGCCAGACCTGCTGAGCTTTTCCAGCAAATTTGTTTTTGTTCCTGATTTACAGCATCTGCAGCTCTTTCGGGGCTCGGTGGGGGAGGGGGGCGCGGTGGCCGTGGGGAGTGCGGGCGTTATGTCAGGCTGTTGCTCGACTAGTCTGTGAGACAGCTGTCTTTATATTGGCACCAGATCCCAGATGTTAGAAACGCGGACTTTGCAGGTTAAACAGGGCTGTTTCTGCCATGTTTCTTTGCCTGTAGTTTATGTCTATGTCAGGTGATCTATCTTGTTCTATTTCTTTGAGATCAGTACTTCCGGGCGTGGAGAAACTACGCCATGTTCTTCACAGTCTTCAACACATCATCGGTGACAAAGAGCACCTCGTCAAGATCTTGCCTATACCTCCACTTTCTCCTTCAAACTACTGCCGAACACTAAACGGGGTATTGTTCGCAGCAAACTACGCAGCCTTCAGTAAAACATCGACCACAATGCCACACAACCCTGTCATGGCAAGCTCTGCAAGACATGTCAGATATCCGACATGGATAGTACCATCTCACGTGGGCACACCGCCCACCACGTGCATGACAGGTACTCATGCGATTTGGCCAACGTTGTCTATCTCATACGCTGTAGGCAAGGATGCCCCGAGGCAAGGTTTATTTGTGAAATCATGCAGACGCTACGACAATGGATGAATGGACACCAGGCAACAATGACCAGACAGGGACGTTCCCTTTAAGTTGGGGAACAGTTCAGCAGTCAAGGACACTTGGCCTTGGATCTTCGGGTCAACGTCCTCCAAGGTGGACTTGGAGATACACAACAATGCAGAATCACTGAGCAGAGGCTGATGGCCAAGTTTGGTACCCAGGAGGACGGCCTCAACCGGGATCATGGGTTCATGTCGCACTACAGGTGAGCCCACGATACTATGCAATCTCACACACGCACGCACACACATACTCACATACTCACACAGGCACTCTCTCTCACACACACATACTTTCACGCTCACACACATAGACACACTCTCTCACACGTGCACACTTTTTCTCCCTCACACAAACACATACTCTCTCTCTCCCATCCTTACATGCACATACGCACTCTCTCTTCCTTGCACATGCTTGCACACACACACAAACACGCACACCCACACACACACACAAATAAATCTATGGGATAAATTTGCATTTACAGACTTATAATTACAGATACGTTCTATTTTGTCCAAAAAAACACACAATTTGTAGACAGTCAATGTGGCGTTTTATAAATACCTACTTTGGAAATAAAACCAGTCTGATTTCAAATTGATACACAGGCAGACTCTAAACAAGGCCTCATATTTAAAATTGATCGCCTGACCTGGGATATCACCTCTTTTATACGGAGGGAACTGATGACACCTTTAGTTATCTTAGGACAATGACTTTCAGAAATTCGGGAATTTGCACATTAATCCTTTCTAACTGATTAAAGATTTAACGGCCATCTTCGGTTTGTTCAACACTGCATCAGTTCTATGACCCTTTGGTCTTTCGCTTATAAATTGTGTCCGATGCCACCTATCTCACTGACACCTGAAGGAGTGAGACTCCGAAAGCTTGTGTCAACAAATAGGTTGGAACACAATTGAATCCTTTATCCTCGAAATATCATTATCCTACATGAGTCTAACCGCCCTGCTCGGCGAATACCGAACAGGGGCCTTGGTCTTTAATTCGATAAGGAAGCCCTCATTAAATTAGAATGGTTTTGTCCGTTTGTGAGGTTGTAGAAAAGGGTGCAATTGTCATTAATGTTCGGGTATAGTTTGAAGGTTGTCCACTCGAGATTTCCAATCCATCTGCTATCAAACTAACCACTCGTGAGTTTTAGCAACAACCCTGCACTTGTTTGTATCGCTGTGATCACTAGCAGCGCAGAAATAAACTGCAGTATCAGACGCTTGCAGCTTCAGGATTTTCACGGTGCACGACTCAAGATTGCGCCTGGTGCCTTCGAACCTGGCCTTGAAATCGTCTTCGAACGTGGGCTCTGAGGTACCAAACGAGGTTGCCACGAGCTGCAGGCCTGCTTCTCTGAGCTGCCGGTACCAGTACATGTTGGTATTGCTAGTGTCATTTTGATAACAGTGCATGACTGTCGTGTTCTCCTTTTGTAGAGACAAACGCTCCGGCCACTGGGAGATGAGAGCGCTTTTACAACTCCCTAAGGGAAGAAGATGGAGAGAAACAGAAACGGTTTTGTGTTGAAATGTCAATTGCTTGCGGGGACCCGGTTATATTCTCTGGTTCCCCACATTTCACACACTTCTCAACCTCTACGCCTCAGAAGGACGTATCATTTCCCCATAATGGACAGAGAGAGAGTGGCCTCATCCACTCAAGGAAATGGGTTTTGCTTTCGGTTATTTGGACCTTCGGCATTACCACTTCCAGTTGATGTGCGACGAACAGGGGCTATTCAAATGCAGGTCAGAAACAAAAAGAAGGCATTTGTGGAAGCAAAGAATGATGCAGATGCAAAAAACGGCGTTTGCCCAATTGTTTCCTTTCTCTGAGCATTTTTCAAGCAATTTCCAGTTCCAATGCGCTCTGCCTTAACACAGATCTGCACATCATGCCAATTTGGTATTTATCTATCTCCCTATGGACGCACAGAACATTCCGCAGCAAGACTTTTTTTTCTTCTTGACTGTACAGAAGAATGAAACTTGCAAGTGGTTTCACTGACCAAAGTTACACTACGGTACCAAAATCAGATTAAAACTTGTTCAAATAGTTCATCAAGGGATGGAGGTTTACCTGAGAGCAGCAGTAACAGAAGATGCAGATAAAGAGCACCGAACATTATCCTTCCCGCCCAACTTGGTACAGGCCTCACAGACTGCAAACCCTCTCGTCCTAGCACCGGATTTAACACATTGCTGTAGATATGACATCATCACAAGAGCTTCCAATAGGCTTCCTCCGTTTCTCTCTAAGTAAGAGTACATGTCTGTCTGTGAATACGCTGGTAACTGACCCACAAGGTCATCAGCAATGTTAACCCTATAATCCGCCCACTGGAGGTTCATACAGATTGGAACGATTCACGTGTCTGTTATTTGTTGTGTGGGAGATGGTGAGAGGCAAGTCACTTCTTGTTAAAGTGTAGAAGAATCGGTTAGAGGTCGCAGTCCTGCCCCATTTTGTATTTCAGGATGGACACAGAGAAGAAAGTCGAACCGGGAAGAACGTTGCACCTGGAGGACGATCAGGTCGGTGAAAGACGCTCTTTGATCTGCCCGAAACTGTTACTCTCCTACAACAAGGAATTGACCTCGACCGAGTGTCGTAGACTGACACATTCGAAGGCCCAGGACAACGTAAATAAAAACCAAAAGAACTGTAGATGCTGTAAATCAGGCACTAAAACAAAGTTGCTGGAAAAGCTCAGCAGGTCTGGCAGCATCTGTGGAGGAGAAAACAGAGTTAACGTTTCGGGTCCGGTGACCCTTCCTCAGAACTGCTTGGGGCATCTGCCGCAAAGGTGATGTTGGAAAACACCACTGACTTGAGTTCGTCCTGCTGAATTTAAATTGGGGTCTGTTTTACTATCGGACCCTGCTGGTGCCTCAAATGCATGAAAATATAGTTTGGTTCAAGACGTGTTTTTGGTTTGTTTGTTGGATATAGTCAAACTCCAATGTTTTCTTGTTTTCTTCATATGCTACTGTACAGGACTGAATTGTGTTTGTGACCATGCATGGGCGTACATGTATGCGTAATGCAGAAAGTTTTTTTTATGCTTAAAGTATGGTTTTGAAATTTAAAAAAGCTGTTCCTACCAAAGTTCGTTCAGGTCTCAAATCATCCCGTTGGCTTCAAATGAATGTAAATAGTTTCCTGCAGAGGCGGAAAATGCTTCTGTTTTCACCAGTGCAAGGAAGACCTGAGAGGGGTCAAATTCCAATGTGTCTTTTGGCATTGTTACTCTCTGTAGAAACTGTAAATAACTCTTTCCGGAACTTTTGCATGCATATATTTTTTATAACTTTATTTTCACAATATAAAAGCTATTCCTCTCATCGGAGAGTTGTGGTTACCATAGACAATTTTTGACCACTGTCTAAAGTATTTCTGTCAAAATACAATGGGCATCTGTTCAGATATTGGATCCTCTTGGTGGCTGAAATATACGTAAATAGTATTTTGCATAAGTAAGAAATACCTCTGGGGTTGTTGCAACTGTGGGGAAAGAAAAATTCCAACGTTTACTTGATTCTCTATATGCAAAGATAGCAGGGTATCCAACGGCTCTAGTGACTATGTATGTACGTAAAGATTTTCTACAATTAAAGTGCATTTCTGAAATAAATAAAAAAGAATGTTCCTAAGAGTGATCCGTTCAGTTCTCAAAATCCTTTCTTGCCTCAACATGAATGTGAATAGTTTCCTGCACAAGTGGAAAACGCTTCTGTGTTTAGAACTGCATGGACGATCTGACAGATGTCGAATTTCAATGAGTTGTCCGTTTCTTTTCCCTCTGCAAAGACAGTCTAGAACTGTTTAGGACAGTTTTGCAACAAAAACTGACTGCCCTCATAGGGTAGTTGTTGCAATACCACTGAGTCCTCCCTAAGCCTGAGAAGAAACATTTTCAAACAGATATAGTTTGAAGGGATGAAAAATTGAGACATTAGATCTTTTGCTGTGTTCAAAGATGTTATTACACAGCTCTGGAGCATGTAGGCTTTGAACTCAAGCCTCCTGGCTCAGAGGTGCATCACAAGATCCCTCCTCATTTATTCTAGATTCCTTCAAATGAACCTGATTATAGATGTCATTAAAATCCGGTGATGGTAGGCCAATGTCGGTCTCCTGGCTCAGAGGTAAGAACACTACCAGGTGTCCAACAAGACACGGGGGTGTAATAGCAGAAACAGGTCTTTCAATTGTCCGCAGCTGACTCTGATTCAAGGTGATTCTCAAAGAGCATTGATGAAGTTTTATTTTCTCTGTTGATTCACTCAGTTACTCAGAGCTACCATACAGCTTCACAGAGCTATAGCAAGAACATTATTAATCTTAAGAAGACATTTTGTAATACATTTGCTCAGCAAAATAATTGCCACCCTTTGCGGAGAGAGTTAGCGAGATTAAACAGATGGGGTAATCAGGGAGTCACAGTGAACGCAGTCCCTATAAAAGGCAGATAGCGTGAAGAGGGAGATATCTCTTTGGTCGTGGGGTCAGATTGTAGGTGGCGGAAGGGGTGGAGAATGATACGTTGGATGCAGAGGTTGGTGGGAAGGTATGTGATATTCATTCATGAGGATTTAAATTGGTTTGCTTAATCTGGTTACTCACAGACTTGTTTTAACAAACGCATAAGTCCTTCCAGGCTAACGTGGCTACATAGCCATTTTAATGAACGCAGGAGCTATTTGGCCATGCCATACGGAAATCTCACAGAAATTACAAAGATGTCAGGAGGAGCAGCCAGCAAATCCATGTTTGATTGGAAGAATTAGATTGATTGCCCAAGTGTAGTTTCGGGAAAAAGTTAAGAACGTGAATGCAAGACTATCCTTTATTACAATAGGAATAAAAAAGGTTGTTATTAAGAAAGAATGAACAGACCTGCTAATGCATACAATGGTCTTGGGAAAGGGCTCAGAATATTTAGGAGTTTGTTTTTGACTGGCATGGACGCAATGTGTGGTTGGCAGGGAAGTCTTCATCAATGAGCACCTAGTTGAAATCTGCCAGGGGCGCTTTCCCAATCGCTCAGCTCGTGGAATAGGGGGCTCTTAGACTTTTGACCCCGTTTTGAGCCTGTTTGAATCGATGTGATCACGAGTAGCATCAGTTGACTGCAAGCTCAGTATTTTCAGGTTGCACAATTTCTGAAAGGGTCTAGTGACTTCAACCCTCCTTTGAACCATTCCTCAGTCGTGGGATCAGAGCAGATGGCAGAGGTTACTATGAGTTGTAGGCCTGTTGCGATGTGCTGGCGGTACCTGTACATGTAGGTACACCCTCTTCCCTTCACCAACAGACACGTGGGAGACGAGGGCGCTCGGCAGCCAGCTGAGGAGAAACTGGAGAACAGACAGGGTCAAATTTCAAATGTTACCATTATCACAGAAAGGCAATTTCTACCAAGGGAACCAGGACACTCTGTCACACCTGTTTGACTCGTTTACATCTGCAGACAGACTTGCAGAACTCTGGGCACCCATTCACGGTGGAGCGAAACTGGGGTACACTCCGAATCACCACGTTTGGCTGCAATGCCAATTGTTCACAGAGACCAAGGTGTATCCTGTGATTTCCCACATTCTACACACTTGGACCTCTGCCCGCCTCACAAACGTGTGACATTTATCAATTATGTGGAGACAGAGAGAGCAGAAAAGAGACCATTGCCGTTTACTGGTGTCGGCATTATGCATGTGTCCTTTGGAAGCTGGGCATTGCCACCTTCATTCTGCAACAAGACCGTTGTCTTTGTTGTTTTTAAGAGAGCAAACAGGAACAAATCTTGCAAGTGATCTGACTGACCGAAGTTCGACAACAGCACCAAAAGTGGATTAAAACTAGCTCAAATAGTTCACCAAGGCTGAAAGATTATCTGGGAGCAGAAGTAACAGGAGATGCAGATAAAGAGCACTGAACGTTTGCAACTGTGCTGAAAGTCAAATGTCAATGTTTGTTTTTCCCTGTGCAAATACTGCACAGTGACGAACAACATAACTGAATATGAATGTAAAGATTGATTTCCAACGAACAAAATCGTTTTTTTGGAAATAAATAAAAGACAGTTCCTAACAATGCTCCGTTCAGTGCTCAAAACCTCTGTTGCCTCAAAATGAATGTAAATAGTTTCCTGCACAAGTGGAAATGACTCTTTTTACAACTGCAAGGATGATCTAAGAGATGTCAAATTCTAGTGTCCCATCTAATATTTTTCTCTCTGCAAAAACTGTCTAGAACTGGTTAAGGACGTTCGTTGTATACATTTTATTTTAATAAAGTTTACTTTCGCAATAAAACCTATTACTTTTATGGGCTAGTTGTTGTTACAAAGCCACAGGTAGCTCCTGCCTGAGAAGAGATGTTTTTAAATAGATGTCGGATTTTGATAGGGTAAGTATTGAAATGCTAGATATTTTGCAATGAACCTATTTGGGGATATTACACAGCTCTGGAGTAAATGGGTCTTAATCTCACGACTGCTGGTTCAGAGGTAGGCACTCTACCGCTGCACTAAAGAACCCGAGCTGTGACTAAGGGCATTGACGAAGTTTTGTTTTCTCTCTTGATACACGCAGGTACTGAAAGCCACCATGCAGCTTTTCAGGGCTGTCACAAGAAGATTTTTAATCTGGAGAGCATATTTCGGAAAAGGTTTGATCAGCAATCAGTTACCGCCATATGGAGAGACAAACAGGTAATGAAATTTAATAGATAGGTTAATCAGACATGAGTTTTCATGAATAAGATTTAGTTTGCTTCATCTTGTCTTTCTTTATAACTAATTTTGAAAAACACATACGTTTTTCTTTTGGCTAACTTGACTAATATATCTTTCTGTGCGAATACAGGAGCTATTTTTGTCACAAGACAATCTAAAAACAATTACAAAGTCATCAGGAACACCAACCAGCAAATCAATGTTTAATTGGAAGAAACACCCCAATTGCACAAGTGCAGCGTCAGGAAGAAGATAAGAAAGTGAATGGTAGGCTATCCTTTATCGCAGGAGGAATAAAAGGAAGGATGTTATTATGAAGTCAGAATCGACAAACTGGGCTTATTTTCCTTGCAACGAAGAAGCTGAAGGGGGACACGATTGAGACGTAT